CTGTTTGTTTGCTTGCTTGCTTGTTCTGGAGAGCACACAACAGAGTTTAGTTCTGCTCGAGTTTGGATGGGAAGCATCTCCCCAAGGGGTGTTGCAGTGAGACTCCAGGCAGCCCTGCTGTCCAAAGCACTCCTTCTGAAAGGGAGCTGTGAAAAGGGGCATTTTCTTATTCTGTGATTATGGTTATATCCAAATGGCACCAAGAGCTTCATCTACCAAAGGCGTAATGCTCGTGGCAAACTGAACGTCTGGGATCGTGTGCTTTGCTGGTCTGCTAATCTTATTTCCTTTTTGTACAGTGTTTTGGGCTTAATTGTCAGCTCTCTGGTAAATCTGCAGAGATGAGTGCTGATAGGCATCAAGGGAAAATATTGTATAAAAATAACATAGAAAAAGGAAACAGGTTCAGCACACACAAAAACTTTCTTTTCTTTCAGTTCCTCAGTTGAGAACTAAAGACAAAAGGGGCTATTTTAGTTTCGTGTTTAGCTCAGATCAAAAAGGATTTTTTTATAGCCTTCATATAAGATGTAAATTCAATAGAATTGTCTATTTTCTTTGAGACAGACGGTCGAAATAAACACAGGGTTTTCTTCCTGAAGTCTTTGCATCTCGGATGGTGCCTCTGTGTGGTCACAGGGTGTAAGCGGTGCTTCCCAGCTGCAGGAGCAGGCAGGAAGTGCAGCCCGGGGCTTGTCCAGCTCTGTGTCCAGCTCTGGTTGGAGGTATGGCTCTGTGTGTGCAGAGCTTCCTTCCTGCTCTGCTTGCAGCATCCCGAGTGGCTGCAAGCTGGAAGTTCCTCTCAAATATTCCCAGCTTGATCATAGGCATTTTCAAGAGCATTTTGAGAACTAGGTGGCATGACAGTGATAGGACAAAGGAGAATGATTTTAGACTAAGAGAGGGAAATTCAGCTCAGATGTTAGGTGGAAATTCTTCACTCCAAGGGCAGTGAGGCTCTGGCACAGAACGTTGGGCGCCCCCTCCTTGCAGGGGCCCGTGGCCCTGTGCAGCCTGCTGTGTGGGAGCCATCTCTGTCCACGGTAGCAGTTGGAGCCTTAAGGTCCCTTCCAAGCCAACCATGCTGTGATGACATGATTTCCCACTGTACTGCAGCGTTACAGAGCAGAATTACTGTGAGGGGCTGACGTTGCACGACGAAAGCCTTGGTTAGCAGAAGGGCAGCTGAGCAGCCCTCACGCAGCCCTCAGCCCAGCTCCGTCACCGTTAACCCTTCTGCTCCTCCCCTTCCCCAGGTGCACAGCAAGGACAAGAAATACGTCTGCAAGGTGTGCAACAGGGTGTTCATGTCTGCAGCCAGCGTGGGCATCAAGCACGGCTCCCGGCGGCACGGCGTCTGCGCCGACTGCTCGGGGCGCAGCGTGGCCGGGCACCTGGAGCCCAGCGGGGCCGAAGGGTCCCCCGAGGAGCTGTACCCTGGGGAGGGGGCGTACATGGAAGACCCGGATGACATCAAGGTGGAGGGAGACGAGGAAACGGGAGACGACGATGACATCAAATGGAAGGATGACGTGGGCATGGCGCACGACGACGTGATTTTGGATGACGACAAAGACGTCGACTCCTCGCAGGAGAACTCTGGGGAGAACGACAAGGATTTTACCTGGATTTCTTAGGGATCCTTTTGTCACGTTCTGTTGTTTGTAGGGGGAGGGAGGGCAGGGGAGGAAGGAGTATGTTGCAAAAACTACATAGCCTTGTTGTCGTCCACGTGTGCAAAACTATTTGTGTTTTCTAAACGTGTCCTGCTCTGTTCCACTTGGATGTGTGTTAGCAACACGGCCCCGCCGCCTGCTGTTCCTCCTCGATCCTGCATGGGGATCCTAGGGGCACGTGCCCCCGTCCCAGCCTGCATTGAGCTCCAGGAGATGTTGTGTCCGACGTTGGTCTTGGGTGGTGCTTAACACCTCTTCTATGGATTAACATCCCAGCAGCAGTGGAATTGCAAACTAGAGGTGGTGGGAACGAATGGGCGCACGTTTCCGAGGGCTTCCCCTAACGATGCAGGCTTTTTGCAAGTTATTTAAAGAGGGTTTTTATTGTTAGTTTTTTTCTTACCGAGCCAAATAGATCAAAAGGCAAGCGGGATTGCAGCCTTACGATTCTTGTCATAAAAGTAGATTTTTAGCTTCCAGAAGGATCACCATCAAAAAAGATGATGGCATTTCTAGGACCCAGCGGCGTCGTACCCGTGTCCTGTCTTCCAGCCTTGCGTCTCCGTGCCCACCGATGGGCGCTGGCATTTTCATGGACTCTTTGCTATAAGGACACAGGGAATTGTCCACCTGTCGGCGTTTTCCACTGATATTTTCACTTTCCTCCCTTTGCTCAGCTGCCTTTCTCACAAATATATGCAAACGGTAGAAAAAGCGAGACCTTTAGGATGAACTGTGAAACACGGGACGCCGAGGTGAGGAGACCCAAAATCCTGCTGGGATCTCACCTGGGTGGGCTTCAGTCCATCGTTGGTAGGTGTGAAAGCTATTAAGGAAACCCTTCAATCTCAGCTGCACTGGTTTCATGTAAATTTGCAAATAAAATGTTTTTATGAGAACCAGGTTTCTCTCCTGGCTTGTCTCGGAAAGGTTTGGGTGGCTCCGAGTGGCTGGATGCTCCGTGTCCAGATGGAGCGTGGCTGCCTGCTTCCAGCCCCGAGGAAATGACTCGCAGTGCACTGCAGGGGTCCTGATGGGCGAGAAGAAATCCGTGTTACCTTTCACCTCTTTGCTTCTGGTGCTTTTTTATAAAAACAAGGCAAAAAAAAAACAACCTGAAAAAGCTGAAGACCTCGCTCCTTCCTCGCTATGGAGCCATTTTCTACGCTGCCTGCGCCGACGCTCCTTGAAAGCTGCCGCCAAGGACAACCTGGTGCCGCTAGCCAAATGACTCCAAGGTGCTATTCATTATCCTCCAACGGTGGGAAAGGATCTCGGTGGGGAGGGAGCTCCTTACAGGTGTTGGTTTCGATGGCAGCGTGGTTCTCTCGGCAAGAAAACAGGGTTCGTGGTGCCGTCACCCCCTCCGCTCCCTCGGGGTCGGAGCTGCTGGCTGCCAGCCCTGCTCTGCAGTTCCATGCAGAGGTCTGTGCGCGTCTCTGTTGGCGTTGTTGCACGTTGGGGATGGGGTTCAACGTGTCCAACTGCTGCCAGCTGTGCTGGTCCCTGTGTGCTGCAGCGGGGGGTGGTGCAGAAACATTGAGCTGCGCAGACCTTCGTTTCGCATCGTAGCTCCACGTCGAGCCCCACGGCCGTGTTTGGGCAGACAAAAGCAATCCCCGTGTTCTACCATCAGCCTTCACTGCCGTCCTCGAGGCCCCAAAGCTGCCCCAGCCCCGTGCCAGGCAGCTCTCGACTCCCACAGATGTGTATTTATTGTCGGCCCTGTCAATAGGAGGGGATCAGTGCCCCCACTTCTGTGTAGACAAACGCACACAGTACTTACAGATGGCTGCAGCTTTGCTTTGATATGTAAACCTATTTAAAAACAGAACCTGTACACCCAACCCCTGCCCCCTTATTTTCTGTGACATTCCATCCCACACCACAAGAGCTGGGAGCCCCCATCCCCCCTCAAAGCCCGGGGTGACCTCAGCTTTGCTTCGTGTTTGGAAACGTTTCCCATTTTTCCTTTCCTTTCCTTTCCGGACATGGAGCCCAGCAGCACCACTTGGATGCACTCAGCACTGAGGATGCGAAAGAAAGAGGTTAAAAATGACTTTAAGAAGGAAGCTCCACAGAAAAGCTAACAGCGTGTCAGCATTATCATCCAGCACCACTCCTCTCTGGGGGCTGCACTCCGTGTACCAAACAGAGCCCTCTGACCCGTGCTAAGAGCCACAGCCCCCTTAGGAAAGGAACTCCATGCAAATGCAACAACTGGAATCCTTGCAGTCTTACCAAGGAGCTGAGCTTCTTTCAGCTCATCCTGCGACTCCTATGAAAGCCATACGGAATGGTTCTCTGTACGTTTCGGTTGCCCTGCGCTGTGTTTTGGGCTCCTGCCTTCGTTTTCAGTTCTGCGTAGTACGAGTGCTGTGTGTGTGCTCCCACCTCTATTTATTTTTCCAACGTGCTTTAAACCTGTCTGCAGAAATAAAGCTGAACAGAAAGAGGGCGGCGTTCCAAGATGATGATGGTGAATTATTTCCTTTAGCCGGAAATATTCTATATTATAACTGACTTCATAATGATGATTATAAAACCTGTGTTTGTATCGAAGATGTGTTTAATATTTCGGGGGAGGAGATTTGGGTCTCCGAGGTCAGCAGAGGACGTGGCTGTGTTGTACTGACTCCCTGTCGATGTAGTTCAGCTGACAGGGCCTTCCTTTGGTCTCTGTCTGCCTGGCACCCAGAGCTGTGCCCTTTGAGTGTGCATACATTGTGATGGGACTTAGCGTAGACATACGTGCAGAAATCAATCCCTTTCAATAAACTGGGGAAATTGCTGCTAACGTTGCGTCTGGTTCTTCTGTGCTCTCCTCCAGCTGTGCCCGCTCCCTGCCTGCAGCTGGCTCCCAGCCCTCCATCAGCCCTTCCCCTGCCTTTATCCCGCAGGGGATCCCTCTGTTGGGGTGATTCCATCCCAGGGGGCTGCAGCAGGACCGACCCCCCCCCCCCCATCCATCCCCCACATCACGCAGCTCAACGTCATCCTTTAAAAAACAAAAAGAATCCAAATCTTTTATTTTTTCTCATGGATCCGACCCATCCCAGCACCTCCCCGACCCCATTCCGGGGGCACCCAATGCAGGGACCCCCAAACCCCAGGCAGAGGGGAGAGGGACTGCGCCTGGGGAGGGGACACAGGGACTGGGAGGGGACAGGAAAGGGGCGAAGGCCAAAAAGCCCCTGAAGTTCCCTGGGCTGGAGGCATTGCAGCCCGGAAAGGGTTTGGGAGGGGGGGGGGAGGGGGGGGGGGGGGAAAGTATTTAAAAAATAGGAATTTTCATATATTTCATTTAAAAAATAAAAACACACAAAGGAGAGGGGGAAAAAAAAAGGGGGGGGGGGGGAAAACAACACCAAAAAAAAACAAAAACAAAACAGAAAAGGTCTTTGTGCAGTTTGGCTTAGTGCAAATGGGCGCGTTCTGCAGGCACTTCCCGGAGCGCGGCCCCCAGCAGGAGCTGCTGCTCCCCAGGTACAAAACATAGAGAGAAAAACACACTACAAAGAGTAAAAACCCCCGCGGGGTGCAGGGGTGGCACCCAGTTGTGCCCATCAGCCCCCAGTTAAGGCGAGGACAGGGAGCAGAACCCACCCTTCTCCCTCCTCTCCACCCCCCCAAGCCCAAAGGCACAGCTCATCCCAGCAGCACACGGCCCCCCCCCCAGCAGGGATATGGGCTGCAGGCAAGGGGTGGGGGGCACGGGGAGGGTTAGCTTATTTTCCGAGGATAAAGAAAAGGGGGGAAGCTCTGTGTTGGCGTGGGGGGGCTGTGTGCATAAAGCTCGGGGTGGGGGGGAAGGCAGGGCCAGGCCCAACTGTGCGTGGCCCCCCCCAAGCCCTACAGTCCTCCCCCCAACAGCGTGGGGGCTGTTCCCTGAGTCCAGCCCCGGGGGGGAGCGTGTGTGTGTGTGTGTGTGTGTGTGTGTGTGTGTGTGGGGCGGGCTGGGGGGCGCGAAGGCACCTCAAGTGCAAAATGTGCAAGAAGGAGAGCTGGGGGGGCACGGCGGCGGCGGCGGGGCTCAGTCGAGGAAGCGCTGACAGGCCTTCTTCCAGCGGCACGCCGTGCACCACAGCTCCCGGTTCTCCATGCCGTACACCTTGCGGCACTTCTTGGCCTCCCCCCGCGGCTTCCTGTGGGGCACCGCCTCGTCACTGCGGCGTCAGGGATGGGAAGGGCAGAGGGGACAGCGACACAAGTGACACCAACTCACCTGGGGATGGTGGGTGGCTTCGGCAGCGTCGGGGTGGGCAGCGCCGGCGTCCTCAACCCAGGTAAAGGTAGCCCTGGGGGCCGCTTCTCCCCAGCTGTGGGCCCTGAGGGGCAGCCCTGGGGACATGGCAGCACATCAGCACCCATGGGCGCACACAGCACCCTCGTGCACCGCGCTGCACCCTGGCCTCACCTGGTATGCGTGGTCAGTGTGGATGTGGCAGAGGCCTGGGGGTGGCGGGGGGCTGCGGGGGGAGCCCAGAGGCGGCTCAGGGCTGGGGAAGGGCGGCAGCTCGGGGCCGGGGAAGGCAGGCGGCACAGAGGAGGTGGGCGAGACGGGTGTCAGGCTGGAGAGTCCATCCGTCAGCGAGTCCACGTCCACGTCCAGCTCCGTGTAGTAGAAGTCCTCCTCGCCGTCGCTCTGCTCCAGGTCGGCTTGGCGGCTGTGGGGAAGCGGGGTTGGGCTGGGGGTGGAACCCCACGGTGGGGGCTGTAGGGTTGGGGGCTCTGGGTGCTGCCCCAGCGCTTACCCCAGGTGCGCGGTTCGGATGTGCTTCTGCATCCCTGAGGAGCTGCTGAGGACCTTGCCGCAGCTCTTCCACAAGCACTTGAACATCACCTTGGTGGAGTTCTGTGGGCAAGCGGGGTCAGGACAACAACCCCAGCCCTGTCCTCATCCCCATCACCATTCCCATCCCCAGTGCTGTCATCCCCACCACCTTCTTCATCCTCAAATCCACCATCAGCCCCATCCCCAACTCTAACATCAAGCCCACCCCCAATCCCACTCCCAACCTCATCCCCCCCAAGCACTTCAGCTCCAAGCACTATCAACCCTTACAATCATCTCCATTCCCAGCCTCACCACCTCCAGCCTCAACCCCATCATCAGACTCATCTCCAAATGCACCGTCGTTTCCAGCCCCAACTTCATTGTCAACCCCATCATCACTGTCATCCCCAACCTCATCCCCGTCCCCATTCCTGTCCCCATCCCACCTTCCTCTTCCGCGGGATGGGCTCTCCAAACATGAAGTGGGTGCTGTCAGGTTCTTCGGGGCCATCGTCTGGTGGCAAGAAGGCACTGTGGTCATGGCTGGAGAGTGGGGGTGAGGGGGTGGAGGGAGTGGAGCGGTCGCTGGGGGGGTCCCAGCTCCATTCCCCGCTGGTGTTGCTGCTGCTGCTGCAGCTGAAGGACATGGCTGGTGTCTCCTTCCAGATCTCACTGCCAAGCTCTGCTGCAGAGAAGGAAGGTCAGCTCTGTACCACACACCCAGGGACAGGGGCACGGTGTCCCGCAGTGTGCTCTTACCTGGGCCAGGAGGTGCTGGGGGGTGGCCGAGCCCCAGTGGGCTGCTGGAAAGGCTGGTGAGCACTGCGGCTGCCATCACCTCATCGATGCCTGCCTTGCCTGGGAGCTTCCTGCCAGCGTGAGCACAGGGGCTGTGATGATCACAGCCAGGATCCCCCACCGCTGCTCCTCTGTGCCCCCCACCTCCCACCAGGGTTCCCACAAGCCGCAGAGGGGAGACGGACCGGCACTGGGAACCCCATGGGCACTGACACCTGTGTTGTGCCACGTGCAGCTGAGAAACCAGGCTAAGCTCAGCTGGGGCCAAACAACTTCCTGAAGTGGAAAAAAAAATTAAGAAAAACTAAAAAAAAATTAGAGAAAAAGAGCAAAAAAAAAAAAAAAAAAGTAGTGAGCAAGAGGTCAGGAGCAACAGAAGCCATTTTGCAAGTGAGTCCCAAAGCTCCAGCGGGACAAAGCGGGGCAGCCCCGGGGAAGGGCTGTGGGGGGGCTCTGCCCTCGCTCTGCCGCCCCTGAGGTTGGGAAAAGCACTGAGAAATCCAAGTGGGGATTTTTTATTCCACCGCCCCGAGTCGCGGAGCCGTTTGAATTCGCGCCTCCACGCAGAGCCGGGCGGATCCGGTGCCGGTGCCAAGCAGCTGCCGCCCGCCCCGACGGCTCCGGTTACGGCACCGGGCGCTGTGCCACGGCCGCAGGCTCTGCTGGGAGCCCCCAGGGAGCAGCGACGGCCTCTGAGTCCACACGGAGGAAGGGGTGGGGAGACCCACGCGTCTTTATCCATGCGGGTGAGAGGAGCGCACCGGCCCGTCCGCACCCTGACCCACCTCCATCCTCATCTTCGTCCTCATCCCCGTTCCCAACCTTATCGCTGTCCTCCCCAGCCCACTTCCGTTCCCTTTCCTGTACCCATCCCCATTCCCGCCCCGTCCCGCCATACCTGTGCCCTGGCAGGGGGATGCAGGCTGCGTGCAGCGCCAGGCACCGCTCCAAGCCCGCGTCCAACACCCTCAGCACCGCCTCCTGCTCGGGGGGCTGCAGTCCCAGCGGTTCCCCCAGGCGTCGCAGCCAGCCCCGCGCCCCGGGCAATGCCTGCAGGGAGAGGGCGGCCGTCGGGGGGGGCTGATCCCACTGCTGGTGGATCCCAGCCCCATGTGATTCCCCAGTCTCTAAGGTAGGGAAGGAGCTGGCAGCGTTGAGACAGATTGCGGTGGGATCCTGCATGTCCCAAGTGAATCCCGAGCAGATCTGCCAGCTGGGAAGCGATTGGGATCCAGCAGGATCTCCGCAGGCACTCGCTGTGGGATGTCAGCACCCAATGGATCCCTCTGTGGGCAGATCCCAAGGAGATCCAGGGACGCTGTGCTGGGCAGGGCTGACATCCTCCAAAGCAAAGCAGCGGATCCCTTTGGAGCAGAGCACCGGGATCCTACAGGAATCCCCACAGTGCTGTGCAGTGGCTCCCTCCTCACTTGGGAGATCCCAAAAGGATCAAGCTGGGATCCGGTTGGGATCCCTCCCATCCTTCCCACCTGGGCCAAGCCCTAAGGGCTGCGATCCAGTCGGGATCCATTTGGGCACGGGCTGGTATCTCCAGCTGAGCCAACTGGGCACACATCGGGCTGCAGCCGGGATCCACCTCGGATCCAGCCGGGCTGCAGTCGGACCCACAGGCCGGTTCGCGGGGTCACCGAACCCTCCCCAGCCGCTCCCGCCAGAGGCTCCGGGGGGGGGGCGTGTCCGCCGGGCGGCCGCCAGCGGGCAGCAGCGGATCCCTGCCGGGGGCGGCACCGCAGAACGGGACAGCACCGGGGAAAGGGGGGGGGGAAGAGCCGAGGGGAGCCGGGGGGTTCCCCTCCCCTTCCCCGCCGCGCCCCTAACCCTTATTTAATCGCTGGGGAAAGTTTTCTCGCTGTCATCCGCCGCCGCCCCCCGGTACCTGCGGGGCCCCGTCGTTCTCGGGCGGGAGGCGGCGGCGGGCGCGGCGACGGCGGGCGGCGGGCGGCGGCAGCAGCAGTGCGCAGGCGGCGGGCGGCGGCGCGGGCTCCA